GGGCATCCCATGTGACTTCTGTCAATTACAAAACTAAGGCATGTTGATACTAGCTCTTAAGTCTCTTACGGAATTAAAACTATTACTACTGAAAACCTAGGTGGGGATAAAGAAGTCTGCAATTTTGTAATACTAAAAGGGTTCTGCTTGCTATTAGTGAAATATTTTTAAAATAAATTCTGAAGTTACTTTTCTTACTTAAGTTACAACATAAATATTCACTGGAAACCTTCCTGTCTAAGCTGTGGTTTGGTTGGACTTGATTTATGGAACTTAAAACCTGTGTTTGCAGGGTATCATTATATAACTGGACAAAAGTATAGCTTTGTGAAGTCAGGGAAGCTGGTTGAAGACAGAAGTGAAAACATGAATTGTTTAGACTGATTTACATAAGACTTCAGCTTTTCATTGTTAGCAGACAAAATACAACAGTTCCAGGAAAAAGCATCTTTGTCAAAGATAGCAAGAATGTTTTTTGTTCTTGATATACAGAAAAGCACAAATAGCTTGGTTTTCTATATTTGAGCAGGATCTTACTCAAGTAACTTGGCATTACTAGTATGTGACTTGCTTTTCAAGCGTCTTGAATTTTGCAATTGATCTGGATTGCCTGGTTTGTGCGTCTGAAGGAGAACTGTTTTCTTATTGCTGATTTTTGTGGCTGTAAACAAGTAAGCTATTTTTCATTCTTCTGAGAAGTGAAAGAGAACAAGGCTGGCTGTCTTTAGGAAGTACCTCTGTTGTGGGGCAGATAGCCAGACACCCACTACAGCATGTGTAAATCAACACTGAGCACACTTCCTCAGGGTGTATCTTGACAGAGATTACTCACATACATACTAAAATAAAATGGTAGCACTTTGTACAATACCTTTCTAAAACAACTTCTAAGTGCTTGCTCACAGTCTTGATGCTGCTACTATGAATACATGAGCTGCCTATGAAACTTTATCACTTGCTGAAATAAAATCCAACAAGCCAAAGTCCAACAGCTTTAATGCAGCAGTATGTCTCTCTGCTGGGTGTTATTTATGGACACTATACTGCACTTAGACTTTGCTTCAGAAGCTATAAAAGATGGGATAGACTGATTCAGACAAGGACATGCAACGTGTTGTATTTGAAGATGAGTGTAACTAGCTGCAAAGACGGGGAGAGATGGCTTCATCTGGTTAGCAGTGGTCTTGCACATGATTCCAAAATAGGGGTATCCAATGGCCTGATTAACTGTATGGGATGGTCTTTTGAAGCAGTCAAGTAATTGAGTGTTACCTTGATTATATTACATGCTTTTCTTCAGTGTTCACATGTTTTGTGGACAGGCATTTTTGCATTCTGCCACATAGAAAACCACCTACAGTTCTTAAAGAACTTAGTGACTAAATTTCTACTTTAGTTTCCAAACCAGATGAAAAAAGCTTTGCAAAAAGGTATGAATTATGGAAAGTGGTTAGATCTCAAATAGAGGTCTCCAAAAATGTTGGATACTGTCAGGATGAAAAATGTAAAAATGCAGGTCAAGAATCTCCATAAGCTGAAAACAGTTAAATGATACCAATAGTAGAGTATGGGAATAAAACTTGGAGCCAGCCACATCCCATTTTCTGCTTTTAGTGGAATGAAAAGGAGAAGTAGGAAAAAAAAGGAATGTTGGAAAAACTGAGGTTGCTGGTGGTAGGCTGCTGAGTAAGATGCTGAGTTAACCTTTCCTTTGAGTTGCTAGAGAGCCTCAGCAATGGCAATTCAGGACTTCTAATATCACTTCTTGGGTTGTACTTCTGTGAAATACTGTTTTTCGTTCATTAAAGGGAATGCAACTAACTTTGAGCAGGCTTTCAGGCACAATCCTAACCTGCTTAAAACTTTTCTTATTAGAATATGCTAATTTACTAACTATTTACATTTCACTGACTTTGCTGATCTTAGTCTGCATCAAATCCTAGGAGCTTTTCTTGAGGAGTTGGGAAGTCCATCATGCTATGAAGATAACTTTTACTACAGTTGTGTCAAGGAGTTGCAGATGATGACCAAAATCCTTAGCACTACTTGCTGTGCAAGCTCAACAAGGTCCCCAGACTAGCTCACTAGCTCTTATAGTGCTGGGCACTTGCTTCTGCTATTCTTTGGAGGGTTCTGCTCAACACCAAGATTTTCCTTTCGTACAGGCAAGCCTGTACATCTCAGTGATATAGCTGTCTAATAAATTTAGGCTTTTTTAATCAAATAACAATGTTCATGCTTTGCTCCTGCATTTTTTTTGAGCTGTCATTAGCCCCTGTATTGAGCAGAACGAGATAGAGATGATTTTGAGAGTTGTGGAGGATATGGAATGTTTCTTGTCTTGAGATGGCTTGAAAAGTGAGAGTCCATGAAAAAGTCAGCATTATGACAAAGTGTTATTCTGCCCAAGATAACAGAAAATAGCTTGACTCAGATAAATTTTTACTGTAATATGATCAAAATTATAAATTGCTCTACTCTAAAATGAAAACTTATTTCAAGCTGATTTCTCTAGTCTTAGTTTTTTTTAAGATGTAGGTTTACTGAACTTGGCCAAAGCCTTAAATTGATTGCCATGTTATATAGCCATAAACTAAACTTTAATTGTTGGGAGGAACAGCATACTTGTTCATATTCCATTGGCCAGTTTAGATCTTAGATGGTGTTCAATACCAGGATGTTAAAAGATAGATTAAAACAACTATTTTTTTCAGCCTATTTCCACTGCTTTGTGCATTCAGGCAAGTAATTGGGATGTGATGCAGCTGCAGGTTCACTGTGAAAAGAGGGCTTCTCTTTCTGCTTCTTGGCTGTATTGATCTGTGTTGCTAAATTACTCCTACAGGAAACAGTGCTGTGCAAGAAAGGAAGTACACATTCTCTCCTTGCTTCTCTAGCCCCTATAGAAAGTGATAGGCACTACAGCAGTAATAGCCAGTTCCTCTCAGTTTGATAACCTTTTTTTTCCTCAAGAGGAGCTTTTCTTACATCTTGACAAATAATTCTTTTTGTGTATCTAGTTGCACTGATCCCTTCAAAGGATTTTAAATCTTTATTGTAGGTTACCCAAAAGATGTTTAATTTGAAAGCATGACAAGGAAGGATAATGAGTAGCAGTTTGACAGCAGTCTTCCCTAACAATTGGCCATATTCCATCTCTAAAACAGTGAAGAGAGACTACTGAATGTTTAATGGCGAGTCCTTTCTAGCTCTGTATCTGACTCCTGATTCTTGGATTTTGGAAATGACTTATAAGAAATCTCAGTTGAGAGGATTTGAGAGAGCAAGGACCACTTCGACTACTTCCTCATCAGATGCAAATAGTTGATATCCTGTGACAGATCCAAATTCATGGGTTTTTTTAACTATTGAAATTGTTAAATTGCAGGCCCTTCTTCAAGTTAACCATCACTCCATTCTGAAAAGTCAACAAATTTGGGACTTGCAGTGGAAGAGAACAAGTAGTTTCTTTTTCAGAACAGGAAACTTTAATCAGGCTTGTTTTAGTAAAAAGAGAAGAGAAAAACCAGGTGATACCTAAATCTTTAAGTGCTGTCAGTGCTATTTGATCATACAGGCATTATAATGATTGTCTTACTGGATTTTTCTCATCAGATAAGCTCATTAAGCTTATCAGTCATACTCAAATAGAAAGAAGACACTAGCAGGGCAAATCCAGTTCTGAAAAGGATGCAGTATTTTAAAAGTTGAGTAACTTAACATTGTCAAATTTTGTAGGAATCTATTTGGTATTTGTGGATAAAAGAAATTTTGTAAAAACATGCTAAAAAAATATCTTGCAGAGGCTTCACAAATGTTAACTTTCCCAGTGCATTTCTGCAGCTGGAGTTCTTAAATACATCTTGATATATTTTATATACCAGTGCATTTACAGGAAGATAGTCATGTGATAAATTAATGCCAAATGGTCAATCAACTATAAAAATAAGGATTCTTTTGTCATGACTGTTGGTTTATCAATGCCTCATATTAAAGGTGAAAATGCATGGAAATGGATCAGTAGGGGGAAAAAAGTGTACTGAAAATCGCTTCTTACATTTACAGAATGTTACAGAATTTGAAACTTGATGACGGTCTATAATAAAGTTGCTCTGAAAGTTATTGGAAATTTGGGGCAGTGACTGAGACCAGAGGTTTTTTTATGTTACACATTTCTGAACCCACCTGAGCACATTGTGTCAAAGATGGCTTTAAGATGTCAAACTAGGCTCACTGAGGTTACTGTAAATTATCCTAGCATATACCCCAGAGACTGTAGTGTGAGCAATCCCAGTAAAATAAAGCTTTGACTCTCAACACTGGTCTTTGGCAGCTCAGAACAGAGGAAGGAGTGGTTGCTGTTGAACCACATTTATGTTTAATAGTAGCCTCAGGGATGCTGCCTCTATGCAGCAAAACAAAGTCTAACATGGAACCAAGGTTAGGGTGGGGATTTTCCACCAGCTATGTGTCTGTAACATACTGCTGTCCTGTCTCCATCATGAGTGCTTGTTCCTGCTTCCCTAGTGAAAACTGCTGGCTGGCTGATGCTGTGGATTTGAACTGGGTGGATATTGTGAGTGAGAACAGCAAGCAACAGGAAAAGCACAGCAAGATGACAGCAATTTGCATCTTTCTGCTTTGGGTGTTCTTAGGCCTTTCACTTGCAGTTCTAAGAAGTCAGCAACTCTATCCTACTATCTTCTTGTCACAGAATCACTGAATGGGTCAGGTTGGAAGGGACCACAGTGGGTCATCTGGTCCAGCCTCCCTGCTCAAGCAGATCATCCTAGAGTACATTACATGGAATTGTCCAGGCAGTTCTTCAGTATCTCCAGTAAGGGAGACACCACAGCCTCTCTTAAAAAAGGTGTATTTTCTAGTAGTGAGATTTTTGTTGTTGTTCAAGAAACTAAAAATCCAGAGCTTTTTAGAGTAAATGTAGTTCCTTCACAATTAGTCTTTCAAAGTCTGTCAAGTCTGTCAGCATGTCACTATATTAAGTGGTGAAGAGCAAGTGTACTAGGTACACCTATTGTTTTTCAGAAACTTAGTGATTTCAGCCTGTATGGGAAATTGAGTGATCTCTGAAGATTATGGTGGCAAATTAAGATCAAGAAGTAAAGATTGACTGCCCTCACGATAAAACAATTGCTCTGTTACTTTTCTGCTCTTTTCAGGAAATGTTGTTTGTTGCTATTATGATGTATATGTAGAAGTGATAGGGTTACAACTGTTTGTCTCCCGTGCTGCATTCCTGGCTCTGGCAATACCGGTGTGCCAATCGGCAAACAACAGATCAGTTTCTGTTTAGTCATCGCTGTCGGATGGCTTCCAGCTACCCTCTGTGGAGGCTGATGCAATCATGAATTTCTCCTTGCATGACAAATGCAGAGCATTCATGTTAGTATCTGCTCTGCTTCTTTTGTACTTAAAACCCCACAATTTTATGCCCCAATGAAAGAAGAAAGCTATTGTAAAATGATGGTCAGTTACACCAACCATAATGTTTTCTTATGTGACAACTCCTGTATGTTTTGGGTTGATTCATATTCTGGAATTGTATTGATACACAGATAAAAAAAGATCAAGTTCACAAATATGAACTCAGTGCCGTGCCTAAGGATATACAAAATGTGACACTGCAAATGCTTCAAGAAATCTTGTCATCAGCATACATACCTTCATGTCTTTCATCTCCATGCCTTCACACTGTAAATACAAATAAATGCTGCTGGGGTATGGCATTTCCTTCCTTTTAATTTTGGTCTGTGTATACTTAGTTTATCCCCATTCTTATCTAACCTTCTTGCAGAGGGTAGCTAAGCATGGAACAGTACTCTATCTGCGTGCTCTACTTGTTCAGGTTTGTGGGTTTTTTATGTTTTCTTTGAGAAACAGGGTAGAAAGTCTATCCTATCTTCATCTCTCATTTTCTGCTTTGAGGAGAAACAATTGGTAAGTAGAGAAGATTCTAAGTGGTCCCAGAGACTACATTTTCTGGCACATAAATTAGGCCAGAGTGCATAAGGAGCTCTGGCCTTGAGAGCAGATGGCACAATGCAGCTTTAATCCAGGTGCTTTAGTCCTCTTCTGCCCTTTAAATCATACTTACATGCTGCCTGCTCGCAGTGGCTGTGCTGTCCCCAGCCCCATCCGTGGGGTATTAGTCTGAGAAACCATAAGTGGTATGGTCCATAATTACATAAAGAGCAAACTAATAATAAAATGCACAGGGTGACTGTACACCAGGGGCTTTCTTGGTTGACCTGTATGGATGTAGGCAGGGACTGATTTCCCTCCTGCTCTCCTAATTGAGGAGTAGAATGGGAGGAATTTTTAAAAATCTTTTCCTCTTGCATGGGGAAAACAAGAGCATTTCACAGCTAAATCCTTGATGTTTCCTTTATTGTCTACAATACAGCTAATGCTGAGGAAGGGTACCTCTTGAAATACGAGGAACTTGAAAAGCCTAGTCTGCAGTTATCTGCTGGGTGCCTTGCTGCACCCAGAGTCCAGGACAGCACCCCATTTACCATCTCATTGTGGTCTGTGATAAACTGGAGTAGCCTAGAAAAATTGTGGGTTGCATCTCTCCATGCAAGGCTTGGAATACATCCATTTCCTATGAGGAGAAATAAAGATCAAAGGGAAAGATATTTTTGGTACTGTTTTTCTTTGTTCCTCTGCTGTGAGGTTGTTTGTACAAATTAAGCCTGTGATGGAAGGACTTGACAGAATCTGCACTTGTCTTGTGTGGGCCAGGTTTTCATGTGGCTGAGCATGTGGGCAGCTGACACTTCTGAATACAGGAAAGTATCTTGTAACTCTGCTGAAATAGCTGTGTGAACAACAACAATAGCAGCTGCTGCAGCTTTTGGCACAGCAGTAATAGCTATGCTTGCAGCTGTGACAGCAACAGAAGCCACGGGAAAGCCAGGAACACTCTGGCTGCATGCTCAGTGCTGGCTGGTGTGCTGTGACCACCTTTTATGTGACAGAAGTGTTAGAGCAGATGGTTAATTAAAATCCAACAGAGTGAGCCCCCAGGCTAAAGATACCCTCCTCCTCAGATTCCCATCTGTGTAGTGTGTGGAAGGTTGGACTTCAGCACAGAGCTACAGGCTGTCCCTTTGTTTTCTTTAGGGGCTCATGGAGGAGGGAGAGGGACCTGGTAGCACCATGTCTGCATCTGGAACTTGTTGTTGTGTATCATTCAGGTCTGTAAAGTGCAAAAATGTAACGCACCAATAATGGAGGCTGGGAAGCAGCTTTGCACAAAGGTATCTGAGTGTCAAAACGGTGCACAACAAATCAGTCACGAGCCAGAAAATAAGGCCGTCCTGGGCTCCATCAGGAAGAGCACTGCCAGCAAGCTGAGGGGTGATGATACTTTCTCAGCCCCCATGAGAGAGTCCTGGAATGCTGGGCCTAGTGCTGGATTCCCTGGTAGAATGGAGACACTGACATCCTGGAGTGAGACCTGTGAAGGGCAAGCAAAGGCAATTAGGAGACTGGACCATCTGTCATACAAAGAGATGCTGACAGATGTGAGACTGTTCAGTCTTGAGAAGGCTCAGAAGATCTTTTCAATGTCTAAAAATAGATTATGAGAGGAAATAAAGAAGGTAGAACTGGTCTCTTTAGTGGTATTCAATGATAAAATGGGCCCAAACTGAAATACAAGACATCTCATTTAAGCATAAGAAAACCTTTGGCATTCCAAAAGCAACCAAACACCAATGAAACAGCTTCACTGAGGAGGTTGAGGTGTATGTTCTTGGAGATTCTCAAACCTCAAACTTTATAAAGTCCTGAGCAATCATTTGTGATCTGCTCTGGGCAGGAGAGTTGGATTAGATGATCTCTAAAGATTCCTGCCAACTTCAACCTTTTAGCAGTCCTTTGATAGAGCAGCATGATAACAGAGAGTAATTTTGCTCCTCATCTCTATGTAACAATATACACATTGTTCTGCAATGATAATTTGCTAAAAAACAAGGGAGAAGGCCCAAGATGGATGTCTAGCAGATTGGTAAGTAGCCAGAAGATGGTCATATATATAAATATAGACGAATATATATATATATAAAATGGGGAAGGTTGGTCTGTGGCACCGAGAGTTCTCTGAAATATGCTGGCCTTCTTGACACTGAGGTAAGTGGTGACTGGCATGCTGAGAGCAGCACAAATGGGATTTATCTGTTAATTTTTTTACTCAGTTGACAGCTCCACGAAGGTCAGCTTGAGGAAAAAGCCTTTCACACAACTCGTGTGCAAATCTTACAAAGAACAGGCCAAGTCCAGCACTGAGCTGACTTGTCAGAAGCAGGACCTTTGGCAGTGAGTGAGTGGACGGTAACTGGCCTCAAAATGAATACTGGCATTTTATCGTGGGCCCTGCAGAAGGGTGAGAGTAGGTAGACGGGCAGGAGGAATTAGGCTGAGAGTCAATTAATTAAGAGAATTAGGTTTCGGGAACAGAAGAGCGCAGCCATCCCTCCCGCCCCGGCCCGGCCCCGCGCAGTGCGCGTGCGCGGCTCGCAGCAGTGACGCTGTTGTTGTGGCGCGGCGGGGAAGCACGTGAGGAGTGCGACGTCACCATAAACACTCGTGGGCAACATGGCGGCGCCGCCGAGCGGCAAGGTAACGGGGGCGGGCGGCGGGGCCGGCCTCTCCCGCCTCTCTCACCTTTCCCCCGGGGACACGCTGTGTGCGGCGCTGGGTCGCCCCCGCTGGCGGGAGTCGCGGGGAGGGGGAGCTGCCGAATGGCCGGGCGGGTGCCTTTTTCCCCGCCGCGCGGGTGTCGCCTCACGGGGCCGCCTCTCCGGGTACGTGCCGTCCCGGCCTCGGGCGGGCCGGGCCGGGCGCTGGCAGCGGCCTCGGGCGGGACTCGGGCCCTTCCCGCAGCTGGCGCTCCGCGGCAGCTGGGCTCCGGCTCCGGGGCTCCGGAGGCCGCTCCCGGGCGGGGCGGGCACCCGCGGCCGCGCTGGCGCTCAGCCTGGGGCAGGGAGCGCGGCTTGTGCCGTCTGCGTGTCCCCGTGTCCCCGAGGTGCTCAGGGACCGCAGCGGCCTTTCCCCCGGCCTGCCCGCTGCTGGTCTGTGGGAACCTGCCCCGGCGTGTGTACAAAGTCTTGTCGGTCCTATAGTTTAGTAATTTAAAAATTTTTGTACGCCGCGGATTCTTGCCGAGCGTTCCGGAGCGAGACATTATTGCTTGACAAGCGATTGAGCTCGCAGGAGGGGGAGGTACAAGCAACACCCACTGTTTCCCTCCGCCCCCACCAACAGATACGAATTGTGTCCGTATTGTTTCTTTGTAGAAATAGTTTTATTTCATGACTCTGTCTTCTGAAAGCGTTGCTTTGAAGTACGGTGTTCTCGAGCACGTGGGTCCTTTATTTAGGATTTAAAATCTCGGTGTGGTGTCTGATTGTGTGTAGTAGCCATGGTGAGTGTGTGATAGTCTGCGGTTTCACTTTTCCAGCATAGCACAGAAGACGATAGTTTCACTTCACGCTGGTCTCGGCGTAAGAGAACACACGTAATTAGCCACGTCTGCGCTTCCCGAGGGTGCTGAGGAGTGCCCTGAGCTGTAGCATGAAAATTCCGTTGAGGTCTTGAAAGCAGATCCGTTTCAAGCAGAATTGTTGGAGAAGGCAATTTGTGCCGCTCGAGTTTTGCAATTTCATTTTTATGTTCTTTACTGCTGTTGGGTGTGTAAATATAAAGACAGCCATACTGTCCTCCCAGCTGTTTCTAGCTGTGCACTTCCAGTTTTTATGTATACAGAGAAATCCCTTTTTTGGTTTTATCCATTTTAATATCAATACAGAAGTTTATTGGATGAGGGAAATATTTTAAGTTTTTAGATAAATACTTTAATATTTTAGATTTTCAGGTTATTTTTTGTTTTCCACTTAGGCTTTTATCAGGATGTTCTTCAGGATATCTCTCGTGAAAGCAGCTGTATTATGATGGCTTATATGAGAGGCTAGAATGATTGTGGATTAGTTGTTTGTAAATTTGCTGTGTATTCACTGTTCCTTTCCAAGAGCCATGTTTGCCTGAGATTAAATCTCTAAGACGTTGCAAAACTGTTTTTAGTTATGCCACGTCCACAATACTAATGCAACTTGCTAATGCAACTTGTAATTCAATAACATTCTTTGCCATTTCTCTTTTAACACAGAGGACAAATGACAGTTGTGTTTTCTCAGATTTCATGAAGTGGCTGGGCTGGTTTGACATTTCACTGCTCTCAGGAGCAGTTCCATTCTCTGTATTTCCCCACCTGTGTGTTGCACTGTGTTTCACTGCTCTGAGGAGCAGTTCCATCCTTCTCTGTATTTCCCCACCTGTGTGTTGCACTGTTGCTTTCTTGGATACTGTACTCGTTTGAGCTGTCACTGATTAGATCTAGCAAGCTGAAATGATACATAAAAATGTGCTTACTTTTGTCTGGTTTCGTTTTCTGTTGGGAGCACATTGGACCACAGATTGTTCCTGCAGGATTTTAGGACGACTAGTTTGGACACAAACTAGTGAAATTTCACTCCAGGTGGAATAAATGCAGTGTAGGTTGGTACAGACCCAGCATTCTCACTTCAGGCCTTTTGCATTTCAGTGTCTTTACAAGCTGTGGATGTCATAAGTTAACTCAGTGTTCCTTCTGGCTGGGCAGTTAGTTGTAATGGTGTGTTTCAGGTGGTAGCTTTCTGGAAGAGCATTAGTTTGTGAGGTGCTTTATTCTCATGTGGCAGATCTTATCACATGAAAGTAATGTATTTTAATGTATGTGCTTTTTTCTGCAAAATATTACACAAAGTGGTTCCCATGGAGCACGTGGCAGCGTATCCAGCAGCTGGGATAACCTGCATTATTTCAGCTTTCACAAAAACTTGTTTCAGCAAACCATAGAAGATTGTGGTTTCTATTGCATTTTTACCCTGCTTGCCTTTCTCTTCTCTATTGCAGGTTTTTGGGGGTTTGTTTTTTGTTTTGTTTATTTTTATTTGACAGTTTATTTCCCAGACATTATCAATATCAATAGATTCAGAATCCAGCTAATTCATGTAGTCTCTGATTTCTGCTCCATACAATAATGGGATATGAATTATAAATGTGGTTATCTCATGTACTGCTTGGACTTCTGTCCTGTGATTTTTTTTTTCTTGCTGGAACCTCTCTTGAGGTTCTTATCAGTGTTTTTCTCTATGAATAGTTTAGCTTGGTTTAGGAAAAGTTACTTCAGTTGAATTCTGGAGTCGTGACTCATTCTTTATAAATGACCATCTGCCCTAGAACAGTGTGAGCTTCAGTTTTTTGCCCTTTCTTAGAATTGCCAGTTTTTTCTGGAAGTAACTTGGTAATAAGGTCATTTGTTTTCAGAGCTTTTGACTTTATGCAAACAAGTATATTTATGTATTAACATATATTATACTTTATGAAAACAGGTACATTTTCTCTCTTTTTGTTGCTTAGCAAATAGTTTATTTTATTCAGAGAACCTACTCTAGATTCACCCTTATAGCAGAAAACAGTGTTAGAAAATGAGCGAAAAAGTTGTGTATGGGGAGAAGTACAAGCTTCAATTTCTGTCTGTCAGTGTACAGGTGATTATTGCAGCTGATCTAAAGACAGTAATGATACTTCTTTAATGTTCTTGGAGTTCAGAGTATCTTCAGCACGGGGGCTGTTAGATCTTTCTCAAGTTACCCATTGACACATGGGCTGTCAGACAAGTTATTTTTCACTTGCTTGTGCTCTTGCTCTTTGAGTTAAAGTTTCAGAATGTTAACTGGCCAAACATCTGAGCTTTATCTCTAAGCTCAGATGTCTGGCCAGTTCAGCAACTTAAAGTGTTCAAGCAGCACTGTAGCTATTACTAAATAGTAGTGGTGTTAGTGCTGTATGTTTGGGGAGGGGATTTGTGCTTGCAGTGAAAGGTTTTTATTGTTTTTTTTTTAATTAAATTTGGTATGTTAAAATTAGCTTTGCATCCTTCAGGTATTTTGTTGGCATAGATACAGTGAATTATTTTAGGTGTATATCTGTTCTGTGGGATAGGCAATGTCTTGCTCCACCTTCTGCTAGTTGAACATGAGTGCACAGAGGCTCCTGTACTATGCATTGTTGTGCCATTTTATTAAGCTTTTGATTTAAAGTATTTGTTATATCTTTTTCAGCCTTTATAATTTACTGTGAATGCAATCATAATTATTTTTGATTATACTGTACTTCGTGGATTTTCTTTGTGAACAGAAGACTATCTCTCTTGAATTTACTTAAGGCTTTATTATGCTTGAATGTAAAGCAGTTCAGTGATATTTGTGAAATTTCTGTATTTTCATTCTATTTTCTATTCATTAAGGATTTCTCTTTGCAGAAGTGCTTACAATAGGACCAGTGGGTTACTACCTGAAACTCTTGCTCTCAGTACCCTGAACAGACTTGTATTTTCACTGATAGCTGGTTGTTGTTGCATGAGTAGCAGAAATACCTTGCGGCTCAAGAAATCTTCAGAGCACATAAAACAGAGCTTGAAATATGTACTGTGGTCAAGTAGGAAACTTTTCTTATGCAGCTCCTGGTGTGGAGAGCTTTCTCATATTTGTCACAACATGAAAAACATTTGCTGGATTCTGTCCCTCTCCACCCTCCTCTACTTAGAAATTGAGTGTCTTTAAGATTAGCAGGTGTGAAATTCTACTTTCTTGGGAAAAAAGTTGAGCCACAGGCTCAGCAAACAAAAGGCATACAAGGTTCAACAAGGCCAAGTGCAAGGTCTGTAGGGCAAGCACAAGTACAGGCTTGGTGGAGAATGGATTGAGATGAGTTCAGGGAAGAAAAACTTGAGGGTGTTTGTGGGTGAAAAGCTCAGTATGACTCAACCTCTGACCTGCAGCTCAGAAAGCCACTGTGTTTTGGGCCAGCAGATCACAGGAGATGATTTTCCCCCTCTCCTGTGCCCTCAGAGGACACCATGTGGAGTACTGTGTGTCCACCTCTGGAGTCCCCACCATAGGCATAGATCCAGTGTAGCAAAGAGGGCTATGAAGATGGTCAGAGAGCTGGAGCACCTCTCCTATGAAGGAAGGGAGTAGGGGTTTTTCAGACTGGAGAAGAGAAGGCTCCAGGGACACCCTGGAGTACCTTCCAGTGTGTAAAGGGAGCTTACAAGAGAGCTGGAGAGGGATTGCTCCCAGAGGAATGTAGTGATAGGATAGGGAGCAATAGCCTTCCGCTGAAGAGGGAGCATAGGTTTACACTGGATACCAGGAAGAAGTTCTTTGCTCTGCGTGTGGTGAGACACTGAAACAGATTGCCCAGAGAGATTTTCTGCTCCTTGTCCCTGGAAGTGCTCAAGACCAGGCTGGATAGGGCTGTGAGTAACCTGGTCTAGTGGAATGTTGCTTGTCCATTGCAGGGGGCTTGCAGCTAGATGATCTTTAAGGACTCTTCCAACCCAAACCATTCTGTGATTTGTATTTTATTACAATTCAAATGCCAGCTATTGTAGTTTGTCTTCTCTGGAGCAGAAGATCATTTTGATCAAGTTAAATGTTGGCTTGATGCTTTGTGGAGCACTCAAATGTATTGGCACCTAGTTGTTGGAAACAGACTCTTGATGCAGTAGGTACTTCACTGTGCCCAGTGACACTAGTCAGCAGTGGATGTGTGAGTAAGCTTTGGGCAAAGATCAGCTATTCCAAAGAGGAAGATGGAAATTCAAGCAGTATAATGTAGAATTTTATATTGAGTTATATTTCTTTTTACTTAATACATAGTTCTAAACTAAGATGCTTTCTTTTGTGGGTGTAAGGTT